GAGCTTTTGTGTGCCTTGCTACTGTGTGTGTGTTTTGTTGGGCTTGTTATGCTGTGGCTCTCCTGGGTGCAACTGGGTTCCCTCCCCCTTCTCACTGTATTCATGCCCTCATGATCCAATCTTGTTCAGTAGGAAAGCAATGTGAATTATTTAGAGGAGGAATAACAACAAGCCAGTGAGGTGGATTAGGCTGAGAGTGTGTGTTCAGACCAAGTTCACCCAGCACATTTCCTTTGGGGATTTTGAACTAAATTCTTCCTACTAGATAGTAGGCTCATACTGACCACTGAGGAAGACTATAGTTCTGTAGACAAACACATAGCCCTCAATCTGTGTCATAGTACCTTCTTGTGTTCTTGACCAGCACATGAAGCAATTTATGTACAAAAGCTCGCAATGCATAGCCATTTCATGTTTTCCCCTGGGCCCTAGGTTCAGAACTCTGAGCATGAGATTTCTGTACTGAACATCAATAAATCAAAAGTAGGTTTGCAGTACACAGATACACACTTGAACAGCATACTCAAGATTGCAACAGCACAGACATTTTGATGCAATAATTCAGAGCAAGAGGTGTCAGTTATCAAACACTGTTAAATATAAACAAAATATTGCAAGAGTGCTAATGTTTTAAGCATGTTTTAAGTAAAAAAACGCCTTTGTGTCCTTTATAAAGTTTATATCTCTGCTACCTGGCATTACATCTTATCACATACATGGCCTGGCCCAACAAGATCTCATTTATGTCAGATCCGGCCCTCATAACAAATGAGTTCGACATCCCTGGTTTAGAGATTGAACTAGCAGATTTAGTAGGATTGGGCCTTCCAAGTTGACATTTATTTATTTGTTCTATTTGTATCCTGCCCTCCCCACCAAGGCAGGCTCAGGGCGGCTTACAGGATAAATCTGGAGATTTCAATCAGTCATCATGGTTAATAGTAATTGATGGAACTATTCTCATGCATTTGTCTGATCCACACTTAAAGACAACTAGTGGCTATCTGCACCAATGCTCCCTCTAAGCTGTGGAGTCTCGTGAGCAAAAATTCTGCTTTGTGGGCTACTGGCATCAAAGTTGTGAGCGAGCTATTTGGCTGCTGCATAAATTAGTTTGCCCTGGAGCCATCCTTCCTGAGCGAAGACAAAAAGGTGTGAGCCGGAGGCTTAAAAACTGTGAGCTAGCTCACACTAACTCAGCTTAGAGGGAACACTGATCTGCACCATTCAAGGCAGTGAATCCCACAACTTAATTAATGAGTTGAAGAAATATTTCCTTTTGTCTGTACTGGATCTATTCCACATCAATAACCTCTGTTATTGATCTCAGATCTCCCCCTTTCCCTCACAAACGTGTATATAGTTTTATAAACCTCTACCACATCCCCTTTCCCTAGATAGTTTTTCTCTCACCTAAAAAGCCCCCAGTGCTTTAATCTTCATAGAGTAGGTGCTCCAACTTTGGTTGTCTTTTTCTGGTGCTCAAGTACCCTTTTTCAGTACACAGTATTCCAAATTTGGCCACATAATATACAGGGGCATCATAATTCTAGTCATTTAGTTTTGAATCCCTTTCCTAGCAATCCCTAGCATAAACTTGGTATTTCCATTAATCTACACAGGGTCAACATCTTCAACTAAATATTTCACTACAAACCCAACATTTATTTCTTGGTCATTCACAACCAGACCCCATCAGCATATATTTAAAGTTATAACTTTTTACCACAATGTGCATCACTTTACACCACTGAATACCAGATCCTTAGAACCTGCATTGTTTCTCTTCATCCTGAATAATTTGGCACTATCAACAAACTTGGCCACTACGGCCAAGAAATCAGATGAGTGCTTCAGGAGTATGGACTGGAATACAAGGCCACTTTAGGTAACACCCATTCATCCACTCACCAGGAGTTCACTGCCCCTCGAAACTCCATCTTGTTCTCTGTGTTATTCGATGCCTACTCCAGGTAGGGAGCATCACAAGTCTTCCAGAGGACCACCTTTGAACCAGTGTCTTTTTTTGGTTCATTTTGGAGCAACAACAAAAATAGGATATGCTAACCATCCTAGACCTGAAGTGGCTAAACTGTTTGAGGAACACACACTTCTGGATGGAAGTCTTCTAATCCATCATCTTGGCACACCACCACAATGAGTTCATGGCATCTATCAGTAAGTTTCCCTTCTTTGTTTTGCATATTTCCTTCCCCTTCTGAGGGATACACAACCCATTCTGCCTGTCACTGGACACCCAGACCCAAACATGCAAGTAATGGACTCTAAAGTTATTTGTCTGTGAGATACACACACACACACACCTTCCCCAAAACAATCACAGACCATGGCTATTTCTCCTAGAAACAGGATTGGCAACTGCTCATCAAAATGATACCCTAATCTCTGTCATACCGTGTTTCCCCGAAAATAAGACACTGTCTTATATTTATTTTTTCTCAAGAAGACACACTAGGGCTTATACCAAAAATGCATAGAAATCCTGCTAGGGCTTATTTTGGGGGTAGGTCTTATTTTCGGGGAAACAGGGTAGTTGCCAATTCCTTTCAAATCCCAAAAACATGGAAAAGCCCGTGTACATTTTCCATGGAGCAGGCAGAAGAGCAGAGTTGTCTCTACAAGGCAATGCACACACAGGATGAGGAAGAGAAGCTCTGATTCAGTAGACTTTGGAATTCACCTGAGTTAGTAAGTGCAGTGGTTGGGGACTGTCAAGACCAATGCTCCCTCTAAGCTGTGGAGTCTTGTGAGCAAAACTTCTACTTTGTGAGCTACTGGCATTAAAGTTGTGCGCAAGCAATTTGGCTACTGCAGAAATTAGTTTGCTCTGGAGCCATCCTTTCTGAGCTAAGACAAAAGTGTGTGAACTGGAGGCTAAAAAACTGTGAGCTAGCTCACACTAACTCAGCTTAGAGGGAACACTGGTCAAGATACACTGCATGAGGTTTGATTTCTTTAGATGCTTTGCTTTCTTACCAATCTCTTTTCTGTCAAAACCCCCCACACACACACTGCCTCAAGCTTCTCTTTGAATAAAACTAGTTTGGTTTTCCAGAGAAACAGTATATTTTGCTCAGCACATTTGCATAAACAGGGTGAACCCAACTACTAGGCAAACCTAGGCTAACATACGAGATTTTGAAGGGGCACCAAAAAGGCAAGAGGAATCTCTTCTACTGGCTTGAAGGAATGCTTGGCATTAACTGGTTTCTAGAATTCCTATTTCTGTAGCAGTAGAACAAAAATAGAGTTCAGTAGCATCACAGAGGCCAACATTTTCCAGAGTAGACATTTTTGTGCGTGAACCATCACTTTGTCAGATACAAATGGATCTTCTTCATTCTATGAGCCCTTATATCCAGGTGAGAAGGTGGGAGGAGTGTTTACAAAGAAGGGCCAGTTAAAGTCAAGATGTAGACGTACGATGCAAAATGTAGTTTCAGAAGGTAGCAATGTTGGCCTGCAGTAGAATAACAAGATTTGAGTCCAGGAGCACCTTAGAGATCAATAAGATTTTCACGGTATGGAGCTTTTGAGAATCAGGGTGTGGAGCTTTTGAGAATCAGGGTGTGGAGCTTTTGCGAATCAGTGTGTGGAGCTTTTGAGAATCAGGGTGTGGAGCTTTTGGGAATCAGGGTGTGGAGCTTTTGGGAATCAGGGTGTGGAGCTTTTGAGAATCAGGGTGTGGAGCTTTTGAGAATCAGGGTATGAGCTTTTGAGAGTCAAAACTCCCTTCATCAGAAACTACAATGTAAATGCAAAATGTAATCAGCTTGATCTCCAGACCAACAAGAGGTCCTGATCCCCTCTCTCCTGAGTGCCACTCAGCAGAAGGACCCTGCCTGTTTCAAAAAGGGAAAAGGCAGCCAATTGTCTACTTTCGCTCTTATGTACGGCTGCTGTTGTTGCATTCTTTACCAGAATTCAGTGCTCTCTTTCTTTGCAATCTAGACTTCTATGCCATGCTTTGCATTTCACTGGGGACAACCAGAATGACAGACTACTACCTTCAAGGAGGAGGAAGGCAGGATGAACACTGACCAGGCCCCCATCCCATGCATCTCACAAAAACAGTTTTAAATATCAAGCACATTTATTATAAAAAGATAGAAAGTTGGTTATTTTTTTCTTTTTTGCATAGTGATCATGCCAGCTGGAATCCCCTCAAAAGTAATTGCAGCTCTGACCTGATATGGCAGTTTCTCGGTACTAAGAAATGGCCAGACAGCAAGCACCAGCAGTCTTTCATCTACTTCTTTCACTTTACAAAATGAAGGCCTTGATCTCCAAATAGTTGCTAAGAACTACGGAATCCCCCCATCTTCTATGATCACATTTATTCAGTGCCTGATAATCTAGTTTTTCTGAATTTAAAATAGTTTTGAGGTCACCTACTTTGATCCACCTGACACTGCCTTGGAGATTCAGAAAGTTGGAGAACACAGATTTGTTTCTTCATTTGAGGCCGTAGAGTTGGCACGATGCAACCCCCAGACCTGCACTATAACATGAAAAGAGGCAGTAGCAGCATCTGCCTTCCCTATCCAGCAAGAATACTGGCATCCCACTAGAGCTTCCGGGGTGTGGACTAAAGAGGATCGGCATGTCACAGGCAGGTGTAATTGGCTGCCTCATCTCCTGCTGTTTCCTGGGTCAGTACATCTCCCAGAGCTCTTCCTGCCAATCCTAAATCTGAAAGGCAAATTGAGCATGTCACAGACGCTCTCTTGTCTCAAGAGAGATGTCTGTGCAGTTGTGTCAACAAGCCCTCTGCGTCCTCCACATCTGTCAAATATAAATCGAGATGGGTAGCCGTGTTAGTCTGTAGCAGTAGAAAGAGCACGGGTCCAGGAGCACCTTAAAGACTAACAAAATTTGTGGTAGGGGATGAGCTTTCATGAGTTACTGCTCACTTCTTCAGATAACAGGGATCTGAAGAAGTGAGCAGTGACATACGAAGGTCATACCCTACCACAAATTTTGTTAGTCTTATTTAAGGTGCTACTGGACTCATGCTCTTTTCTACTGCTTCAAATATAAAGCAACAAAGTCACCAGTCCAAGAAAGTATCAACAGGGACACACAGCCTCCATGGTGAACTCAATGAGGAAGGCTTGTATTTGACCAAAAAAGGGAGAAAGAGGGGAGTGTTGCTAGTACTTCTTGTCTGGGATGTATATTACAAACAGAGTGGTGCATACTACAGGGAATGATTCTCCTGCACTTGTTGAAGAGTTGATAGATTTGAAAGGCACAGCATCTACTACTGAAACACAGAAAAGGAACTTCCTGAAATTTCAATTCTGCTTGCTGAAGGCACCCCACCCTCCAGTCCGCATAAATGGGGAGGCATTGCAAATTCCCATATTAAGAAGCTTCCTCTCCCACAACCACACAGGTTCCAAGAACGTGGTTTAAATCTGAGGATTGCTTTGAGTGACAAGCAATGTCCTAACCTAGGTGGCTTTATATTGGGGATGGCCTCCCTTTCTATCCTACCCACCACACCTGCCTTTGCATACTGGTCTCACAGGCAGCTGTTAAGTCAGCCTCCACTACTCCCTCAAGTTCGCAGCAAGTGTGTACAATCTGCCACATTCAGACAAAGCCAGCTTCTGCTTTCTGCTCACCTTAATGCAAGTCAGAAGGACACATTTGGACACTTAGGGAAGGCTCCTCCGTGTCTGAGACTGGCAGCAATATCCTGGCCAAGGGCAGTCTGTCTCCTTTGCAAGGTATCCATTATGGCCTCTGAACAAAAGTACCCTGGATGCCTGCAAATACATTTAATCTTTTCAAATATAAAAGCAGAAGAAACAAAGTGACAATTAATATTGTGGCCAAGAATAGTACTCTCAAGCAACTTAGAACTGCAGTTAAAATATCCACAAGAACAGCTGCCAAATCTATCCATTTCTGGATTCCAAAAGTTTTCCTTCCCAAGAAAGGACTTTCACTTCAGAGCTCACAACTATTTTTCTCAGCCTTTGCAGCTGCCAACTTAGTCTATCATACCTGGCAAGACCCAATTAACACTCTGCTTAGAGAATGAAGTGTCTCCCCTTCCAAAATTTTACAATCAGAACTGCTCATCTTCCACACACAGGAAGTGAATACAAGTAAAAGCTTGACAGAGGTCATCAGCCAGGAGGAATGATGCAGGTTTTGTACCCATACTGAATAGCTGTAACAGTGCCAACATCATCAATGTTTGGTTACCTTTTCACTTTTAGAACTCAAACCATCCTCAAGGATGGCATTCCGTACAGTGTTCAAAGGAAAGGGAAGAATTAACTGAGCATGTGCTTGAAGTAACCATCTCTCAGAGATTTGAAATTTTAAAGTTGCACACTTCACCACTGAATTCTTTCCCCATCCAATGCCCCCCTCCACATGCACACACTCCTCCACAGGTTACACATATGTGTACTTGATCCTTGCTAGCCACAGTTAAATGCCTGCATGCTACTGCACAGAATGCAGGACTTCTCAGACTGTAGAAGTGTTGGTCTTTATCTGGCCCATTTTAGCTTCACCGAGCTAGGCAAAACCACGATTTCAGTGCCACTGGATGCCTCCTGAAAATCTTCATCCACATTTTCGCGGTCTCTTTCCAATGGTCGACCAGGCTACAGAAGCAGCGGTGTTCTTTCCCCTGCCAGCTGCTCTTTGTGGAACAAATCCTTAATCTGGGAGAGCTTGCTAAAGATCCTCTCTCTCAGGGGAGGGACGTGATGACTTGGATCCAGGATGTTTGTTATTCTGCGATCTCTCTCCCGCCTCCATAGCTGATAAGGGTGCGGCGGGAAAGGCGCCTCAGATCTCTCACGGCGTAGCTGCATAGTTATTCCACCAATTGCCAGCATGGCCCAGACTGCCAAAAGGATGAAGTCTGCAAGATGAAGAACTGGTTCAATGGAGTGTCCCCTACCCCAATGCTTCCATTTGCTTGTCTCAACTCATTTTCCCTAGGGAGTCTGAGGTCAACTTGTCCCCTACTGCCCATCCATCTCCATCTATATATATAAAAGAAAGTCCCCTCACCGTAAAATCAGTGCCCAGGCCAAACCGCTGGATGTAGAAACATGAAATTCAGGGAGAGCACTCCTACAGTGACGTAGATGCTCACTAAGAAGGGATTTTTAGAAATTCGACCCCTAAGGGGTAAAATGTGCTCCCCCCCATTGATTCCAATGCAGCTGCCAGGCTGCTGCCTCCTTGCACCCCTCACTCTCTGATTGGTCACCTGCAGAGCTCAGTGTTCTGAGGTTAAAAAAAAACAAACAGTTACAGGGGACTACAGAGAGCTAATGACAGTAGAGGAAATCAGGAGTGCCCAACTGCCTGTGAGGTGAAGCAAAGCAGCTGGCCCAGCCTCCCTATGGCTTCAAACATGCTCCCCCCTCCTACACCTGACAGGCAGTTGTCTGTCAAGTACAGCAGCAGTTGCAGGGTACTTAAAGTCACGAGGGAGTTACCGCCCCAGCAGTAATGCCTTAGTGATCCTGCCAGCCCTGCCTCCACAGTAGCTTCTAATACTCCCCCTCCTAGGAGAGGAGGTGGGATGCTTACAGCCACCGTGGAGGTTTGCTCAGCAGGACTACCTTAGCCCTGCTGCTGGCCCAACCTCCCAGATGCCTTTAAACATGATCCCCCCCAACACCAGACAGGCGGGTGTCTGTCAGGTGTAGGAGCAGGACCAGGGTACTTTAATCCATCAGGGACGCCACCCCAGCAGGATCACCTTAGCGATGCTGCTGGCCCAGCCTCTCTGATGGCTTCCAACACACTCCCCCCACCTCCTACACCTAACAGGTGGTTGTCTGTCAGGTGCAGCAGTGGTTGCAGGGTGCTTAAAGCCATGAGGGAGCCCGCCCCAGCAGTCTAAAGAGAGGTCCTTCAGTAGAGAAAAAAAAGTAGGTATGTCTCACTTCATTTTTTACACTACAATCTTCTCCATTAGAATTCCTACAACAAATGTTACATTTCAAACTTTACATCATCAGTATTATAACTGGATTTACGGAAGTTAAATACCATAGCAAAGCACGGGTATCAGGCTGGTATCTAATATTTCTCATACATCAACAGAATCCATTCTGATGTCATAAGCAAGAGGAAAAAGGATATGAAAGTCTTGCTTCCCTTCCCATGCAATCTCTAGATCATCCCAGAAGGGGCAACATCTTTCCCTAGTGGAGACCATGTGCATCTCCCCTTCTACTTTGGTCACAGAAGGAAGCAAGAAATATCATTCATTCTTCCAAGGCCGCTCTGAACGGGGTTTATTTGCAACTGCAGTCATAAAGCGAAGTCCTCCCCTCCGATATGTCTAAGGTAAGGTCTCTGGAGTACATGAAGCTACATATTCCTCCCCAGAGGCTTTCAAACTTTCTGGGCAAGTCCCCCACTCCCAGTCAAGAAAACAGCTTGAGCATCCAAGGTTACTGAAAGGTTAATGTACTAATGGAGCTAAGAGGATCTGAATAGAAGCAACATTCCATCAGTGGGCATTCTCCCAAATCTCTAGTATAGGCATATGAAGCAGCCTTACGGCAAGTCAGACGACCGGTGCATGTCATCTTGGGATTTTTCCAGCTGGCAGCAGCTGTACAGTGTCTTACGCCTTTGTAACCTAACCTTTGCAACACAGCAGCATAGAGCAAGAGAGAATTACTCAGGGCTTCCTCTAGTAGCTCCTTCCTGTAGTGCTGCCAGCTTCACATTCAAACTCTGGTTTTACCCTGAAGCACACTGCCCCAGAGAGCTTCACTGCTGTGCAACATTACCACCATACTATTCTTCCTCATTTGTTACAGGTGAGAATCCACTTACAGTCAAGCTGCATGGATAGCCAAGTCACAATATGCAGCTCTTTCTGGAGAGTAGGTAGGAGAGCAAATCTGAACGTTACAACCATGTAAAAGACCAATGATAGCAGGCCAGAATCCTCTTCTCTGCTGTAACTACCTCTCAAATGCCAGTTCTTTTAAGAGCACTGAGTTTTTAAAGTAATGGGGGCATTCAAAACATGTGACCCTTTGAAGGCAGTCTGAAGAGGCACAGTTCAGCCAGAGCTGAGCCATGAAATTCCATCAATCATGTAGCAAAGCTCTTTCTTCCAAAGCATTCAGAAGCACCAAGTAAAGACTGGAAAGAATGCTCTTCTCACAAGGTAACCTCAAGACATACTCACCATTAGGCTGAAAGGGCACACTAGAGTAAGCTCTTTTGAAGTCATAATTGAGAATCCGCCGGAGCAGGTTTATGCCAATGTAAGAGAGGCTGGTATACAAGTAGCAAGCAGCAGCCAAGACTACGGTGTAAGATCCAATGATGCCACATGCCAAGATGTTCAGCTGTAAAGAAAAATCAGATAATGGGAGTTTACCTTCCAAACCATTCATGACATGTGCCTGATGTTTAATGCACTTCTCAGCCAGGTTGTGGCTACTGAAAAACAGGTTTGCACTTACCTGTAACCATTGTTCATGGAGACTGCATGATTGCAGGCCAGCCACGGAGAGGAGCTTCCAAGCCTTAAATAATATTTCGGATCTTAGGAGTGGTCCCCCTCCCCTCCACCTAGAGGCTTCCCTCAAGAGTCATGTGATGGAGGCAGGGAGAGCACTCTGCCCTGAGTGCCCTTCACCACCATGAGGAGCTATGGTCATTTGAGAAGTATCTCTGCACAGAAGACTACTTGATGAACAATGGTTACAGGTAAGTGCAACCCTGTTTTCATCATCATAGTTTCTGTGCAGTCCCACATGGGAGATTAGCAAGCTGAGACCCAGCTGAGCTCTGAGCAGGAGCAGGAGCAGGAGACAGAGGGCTGCTGCCAGCACTCTGCTGGGGGAGGCCTCTATTTAAGGAAACACCTGGCCAGAGGCAGAGGAGACCCAGCTGAGCTCTGAGCAGGAGCAGGAGCAGGAGACAGAGGGGTGAGTGGTTTTTTATTTGCTTTCAGCGGAGAGGATCCAGCTGAGGATTTTGGTGGGAGAACTGGTCTGGGAGTGTGTGGAAGCGCTTGGAGTTTTTGCAGATTCCTGGCTGCTTGAGAGAGGAAAGGGCATTGTTTGACTGTGATTGACTGCAATTGAGAGGAAAAGGAAGGGGCATTGTTTTGCATGTGATTGAGTGCCTGGGTGCATTTGAATAGCTGCTGCCAGCACTCTGCTGGGGGAGGCCTCTATTTAAGGAAACACCTGGCCAGAGGCAGAGGAGACCCAGCTGAGCTCTGAGCAGGAACAGGAGCAGGAGACAGAAGGGTGAGTATTTAAGAAAGCTCCTTGACAGAGGCACGAGCCTCTGGCACGAGCCGAAGGGCGAGCTAAAGGGCTCTTTGCCCGTGGCTCTTAGCCCAGGGACTCTTGGACTAGGGGCTCTGTGAGACGCCCAAGAAGAGGCAGAAAGTGAAAACCCTAGGCTCCTTGTTTTCCCCATAAAGTAATTTGACTTTGACAAGAAAAAAACACATAAATACAAAGGGATTTAAAAGGGGGATTACATTTACTTATTTTAAAAGAATTATGAAGCCAGAATGCCAGCAGGGGGTTGGGGGCTATCCAGTGTTTTGCACAGAGTGTCACATGTATGACTATCTGCCCACTGGGCAGAAGTCTTGGGTGTGTGCTCGGTGCAAGGAGCTCCTGGTTCTCAGGGAACGTGTGTGCTCCCTTGAGGCCAAGGTGGCTGACCTGGAGAAGCAGAGACAGTCAGCTAGGCGCACAGAAAAGACTCTCGGGGACTTGTTAGCTACGTCCCACTCTGGATCTGGCAGCCCCGCTGCTGTCAGGGAGCATGAGGGTCTAGGGGAAACAGGGCACCGTGCTGAGGATAAGGGGAATGTGCCCTCAGAAGGGACCTCTTCCCCAGCTGGTGAGCGGTTATCCTTTTGCACCAAGGAACCATCCCTGGGCAGGGTGGGAGGGGGGCTCTTGGTAGTGGGTGATTCGATCCTTAGGCAGGTAGACAGCTGGGTGGCGAACCCGCGTACTGACCGTATGGTGACTTGCCTGCCTGGTGCAAAGGTAGCGGACATTACGCGTGTTTTAGATAGGCTGGTAGATAGTGCTGGGGAGGAGCCAGTGGTCGTGGTGCATGTCGGCACCAACGATGTGGGGAAATGCAGTCGTGAGGTCCTGGAGGAGAAATTTAGGCTGCTGGGCAGGAAACTCAAGGCCAGGACCTCCAAGGTAGCCTTCTCAGAAGTGCTACCTGTTCCACGCGCAGGGCCGGAGAGACAGGCACAGATCAGGAGTCTCAATGCGTGGATGAGACGATGGTGTAGAGGGGAAGGGTTCAGGTTTGTTAGGCACTGGGATTCTTTTTGGAACAAGAGGGAGCTGTACAGGCGAGACGGTCTCCACTTGTCCCGAGAAGGAACCAGGCTGCTGGCGCTTAAAATCAAAAAGGTGGCAGAGCAGTTTTTAAACTGAATATTGGGGGAAAGCCGACAGGAGATGAAAAGTCTCTGGTTCGGGTTGGCTCATCTCAGAGAGATGAGGGGGTACCTGTTGCTTTTCTACAGGGAGGTGGATTGAAATTGTCCACTGAGACCATGGCTAGTGACATGGACTGCCTGACAAGGTCTCGAGATTGCAAGAGGAAGGTGGCAGGCTTAACCAGTATGGGAAATTACAGCTGTTTCTATACAAATGCTCGAAGTGTCCGAGGTAAAATCGGGGAGTTGGAGTGCTTGGTGTCAGAGGGAAAAATAGACATTGTGGGTATTTCAGAAACTTGGTGGGATGAGGAAAATCAGTGGGATACGGTGATTCCCGGTTATATATTATATCGGAAGGATAGGGGGGGAAGGGTTGGAGGTGGGGTGGCTCTGTATGTCAGAGAGGGTATAAAGTCCAGAAAGATCGAGAGGCTAAGAGAATTGGATTCGCTTCTTGAAGTTCTGTGGGTTGAAATAGGGGGGCCAAAAGGAAACTTAACACTGGGAGTTTGTTATCGCCCACCGGATCAAAAGATAGAGGAGGATTATAAAATGATGAATGAATTAAAGATAGCAGCTAGACAAAAACACTGTGTCGTAATAGGTGATTTTAACTACCCACACATTGATTGGGTCAATATGTGTTCTAGTCGAGAGAAAGAGATTGAGTTTCTAGACACTCTAAATGACTGTGCTATGGAGCAGATGGTCATGGAACCTACCAGGGGAGAGGCGATCCTTGATTTGGTCCTAAGTAACACTCAAGACCTGGTGAGAGATGTAAAAGTGATTGCACCGCTTGGGAACAGTGATCATAATGTTGTTGAGTTCAACATTTGTACAAATAGGGAATTGGCCAAAAAGACTCACACAACCACTTTTAACTTTAAAAGGGGTAATTTTTCTGATATGAGGGGACATGTGGGGAGGAAACTGAAGGGAAAAGTAGAAAGGGTCAAAACCATTGGGGAAGCTTGGAAACTGTTTAAAACTACAATTCTAGAAGCTCAAATAAAATATATTCCGCAGGTTAGGAAAGGCACAAACAGGTATAAGAAAAAGCCTACATGGTTAACAAACAAAGTAATGGAAGCTGTAAAAGGTAAAAAGGATTCCTTTAAGCGGTGGAAAGCTAGTCACAGTGAGGCTGATAAAACAGAACACAGGCTATGGCAAATAAAATGCAAGTCTGTGGTCAGGCATGCAAAAAGGGAATATGAGGAGCATATAGCAAAAAATGTAAAGACCAACAATAAAACTTTCTTCAAATACATTAGAAACAGGAAACCAGCCAGGGAGGCAGTGGGGCCCTTGGATGACCAAGGGGTAAAAGGAGTACTGAAGGATGATAGGGAAATGGCTGAGAAGCTAAATGCATTTTTTGCCTCCGTCTTCACTGTGGAAGATGAGAGGTGCTTGCCCACTCCAGAGCCGCTGAGTTCGGGAGGGGTGTTGAAAGACCTGAGTCAGATTGAGGTGACGAGAGAGGAGGTCCTAAAACTGATAAACAACTTAAAAACTGATAAATCACCAGGCCCAGATGGCATACATCCAAGAGTTCTGAAAGAACTCAATTGTGAACTTGTGGATCTCCTGACAAAAATATGTAATCTCTCCTTAAAATCAGCCTCCATTCCTGAGGACTGGAAGGTAGCTAATGTCACTCCCATCTTTAAAAAGGGTTCCAGAGGAGATCCGGGAAATTACAGGCCAGTCAGTCTGACGTCGATACCGGGTAAATTGGTGGAAACCATTATTAAGGAAAGAATTAGTAGGCACATAGATGAACAAAACCTATTGAGGCAGACTCAACATGGGTTCTGTAAGGGAAGATCTTGTCTCACTAACCTGTTAATGTTCTTTGAGGGGGTGAACAAACATGTGGACAAGGGGGATCCAATAGATATTGTTTACCTTGACTTCCAGAAAGCTTTTGATAAAGTTCCTCATCAAAGGCTCCTAAGCAAGCTCAAAAATCATGGGATAAAAGGACAAGTCCTTTTATGGATCAAAAACTGGCTAATTAATAGAAAACAGAGAGTGAGTATAAATGGGCAGTTCTCCCAGTGGAGGGGTGTAAGCAGTGGGGTACCACAGGGATCAGTACTTGGTCCACTGCTTTTTAACTTGTTCATTAATGATTTGGAGTTGGGAGTAAGCAGTGAAGTGGCTAAATTTGCGGATGATACGAAGTTGTTCAGGGTGGTGAAAACCAGTGAGGATTGTGAGGCACTCCAAAGGGATCTGTCAAAGTTGGGCGAGTGGGCGTCAACATGGCAAATGGGGTTCAATGTGGCCAAGTGCAAGGTGATGCACATTGGAGCCAAAAATCCTAAATATAAATACACGTTGATGGGGTCTGAACTGGCAGAGACTGATCAAGAGAGAGATCTTGGAGTTGTAGTAGATAACTCACTGAAAATGTCGAGACAGTGTGTGACTGCAATAAAGAAGGCCAATGCTATGCTGGGGATTATTAGGAAGGGTATTGTAAACAGATCAGCCAATATCATAATGCCGCTATATAAATCAATGGTGCGACCTCATCTGGAATACTGTGTGCAATTCTGGTCACCACACCTTAAAAAGGATATTATAGCTTTGGAAAAAGTGCAGAAAAGAGCAACTCGAATGATAAAAGGGTTGGAACACTTTCCCTATGAGGAACGGTTAAGGCGCTTAGGGCTCTTTAGCTTGGAGAAACGACGACTGAGGGGTGACATGATTGAGGTTTATAAGATTATGCATGGGAAAGAGCAGGTAGAGAAAGAGGTACTTTTCTCCCTTTCTCACAATACAAGAACCCGTGGGCACTCCATGAAATTGCTGAGCGGTCGGGTTAGAACGGATAAAAGGAAGTACTTCTTCACCCAAAGAGTGATTAACACTTGGAATTCACTGCCACAGGAAGTGGTGGCAGCTACAAGCATGGACGGCTTCAAAAGGGAATTAGATAAGCATATGGAGCAGAGGTCCATCAGTGGCTATTAGCCACAAGGTATAGATAGGGACTCTGGGGCAAGTGATGCTCTGTCATCTTGGTGCTTGGGGGGGTCAACAGTGGGAGGGCTTCTAATGTCCTGGCCCCACTGGTGGACCTCCTGATGGCACTGGTATTTCTGGCCACTGTGGGATACAGAGTGTTGGACTGGATGGGCCTTTGGCCTGATCCAACATTGGCATCTCTTATGTTCTTATGTTCTTAAGCTTACTTACCCAGGAGGTGGGTATGGGCTGATCAGCAGAAGATTGATTGCAAAACCACTTTCCCCACAGCAGCCTAATTTCTCCAATCTATGTCCATTGAGTAATGTTTGATTAACACAGAGAGGGAGTTGACCAAGTGGCAGCTTTACAGATATCATCTAGTGCCAATCTAGATTGGAATGCTGCTGACGAGGCTTGAGCCCTTGTGGAGTGAGCCTTCAGGGTGATGGGGCAAGGCACCTTCACATCATCGTAAGCATACCTGATGGCAGAGACTACCCACCTGGCAGCAGTGATCCATGCAATGGTCACCTCAAGATTGGACTACTGTAATGGGACTGCCCTTGTCCCAAATCTGGAAGCTGCAGCTGGTGCAGAATGCGGCGGCCAGGCTGTTGTTGTATCTCCCTATGCGGGAGCACATCCAACCTACGCTAAAAGCAACTGCACTGGCTGCCTATAGCATACCGAATTCAGTTAAAGGTGCTGGTTCTTCCCTTTAAAGCCCTATGGTCAGGGACCTATCTACCTAAAGGACTGCCTTTCCCCACATGTTCCCCAGAGGGCACTAAGATCAGGGTCCCAAAATCATCTGGCCCTTCCAGGCCCAAAAGAAGTCAGGCTAGCTGTGACGAGGGCCAGGGCCTTCTCTGTGGCGACCCCGGCCGGGTGGACTGAGCTCCCGGATGACATCAGGGCCCTGTGGGACCTTTTACAGTTCTGCAGGGCCTGTAAAACGGAGCTCTTCCACCAAGCCTTCGATTAGGGTGCCGCCCTTCCAACAACCAGGCCCTGGCCCCAATACCAACACCAACTCAAAATATGATCAATAGCCTGACAAAACCCAGACTACAGTGGTAGTTGATCACATGGATGCTGCAAACGCCACCATCCACTATGAATTATACTAGCACTTTATGATATGTTTTATTCTGCATTGTTTGTGATTTTATTTAAATATGGTGTTTTAACTGCTTTAACACACTGTCTGTAAGCCGCCCTGAGCCTGCCTTGGTGGGGAGGGTGGGGTACAGATTAGAGGAATAAATAAGTATAAATAATATCAACTGAGTGGACGGAGCTTTACCCTTATGCCCCTTAAAACAAATAAATTCTTGTCTTTCCTAAACTCTTCTGTTCTTTTTACATAACAAAGAAGTGACCTTCTCAGATCAAAGGTGTGTAGCGTTTGCTCCAATATGGATGTCGGAGATGGGAAAAATACTGGGAGGTCAATGTCATTTCAAATGGAACTGCAACACCACTCAGACCATGCTGGGTCTGAGCACCACCTTGTCTACATGGAACTTAGTAAAGGGAGGGTTGCAACTCAGTGCACATTTCTTGCCCACCCTCCTGCCGAATGTAACAGCTACCAAGAAGGCCATATTGTAGGACAGAAATGACAAGTCAGACTTGGCCATAGGTTCAAAGGGTTTACACAGTTACCTTGTTAAGACCAAAGACAAACTCCATTGAGTGGTAGGGGGTACAACAAGTAGATACATATTGTGCAAGGAACCTTCCTGATTCGGGTATAAAGAACACCAAGGATTCTGTCCTGTGGTATGCCAAAATGGCTGCCAAATGAATTTTAATGGACTGTAATGATTCCTTGTTTTATATGTGTGTGTGTCTCTTTAAAAAGTTTGGTTGCATGGCTGTGTGGTGGACTAGAGTGCTTGAAGAGACAAGTGTGGTGTGATTGGTGATTGACAGAGAGGGGGAGGGTTTTTAGAAAGGATTTCTGAGTGGATGAATGGGTATGTCCTTCAGGAGTGTCAGTTAGAGGTTTGACAGTTGATAAAGACAGTTAAGTTAGTTCGTTCTGAAGTCTGTGAGAGAAGCAGTCTGTGTGTGTGCAGTTAAGAACAGCTGAGGTTGTTCTGAGAGAATAGTAAAATGTAAATGAAAGTAATTGAAGACAAAGTTTAGGAAAGGCTGTACGTCCTGGAGAGAAACAGTGAACTTACATGACCTTGAGTTAAAGTTACAAAGTTACATGCCAAGATCCCTGACAGTGGAGAGAAAAGTGTGTGAAATACCCAAAGCAATTGTTTAGTATTTACCCATTCCTAGTTACAGTGTTCTACCATATTATTTATGAATTATATCAATAAATCTACTTTTATTTAAGATACCAGTTCTGAAAGAAATACTTCCCAGGACCACATTAGAACCTCGAAAGCCTAAAAACCGACCTACCTACCCAGTGATAGAAATATTATAGTATAAAGGTTTGGAAAGGCTTAAATTTCCTGGTGGCAGCCGGATATACACAGTAAAACAAAACATAAAGAACATTTTAAAGGGAAACCAGACCTCCCCAGATAAGGGGTCGTCACAAGGACAAAGTAAGTCCGTCATCCTTCAGTGTCAGAAGATACTGAAATATCTTTAGTAACTCACAAGTTCTTGGGTTAATTCCCTGCCTGCTGGCAAGAGAGTAAATCTTTTCCATTTGGAAGTGTATGGGTTTCTTGTGGAAGGTTTACAAGATTCTACCATGACCTCTTGAACCCTTTGAGTTAAGCTCCCTACTGCTGGATCAGCCACGGTGTAAGGTGAAGGGACCGTACATCTGGGTGACAGATCTGTCCTGTGTGAAGGAGGTTGTCTGCCGGAGGAAGGGTTCTGTATACTCTCTTGGCTAGTGTCTATAATGTGGGAAACCATACCCGCCTGGGCCAGTATGGGGCTAGCAAGATGCATGTGGCTTTGTCTGCTTTTAGTTTGGCTACCACCCTGTGTAGGATCCCAAAAGGGGGACCATTTTAGTCTGTTTTTAGTTTGGCTACCACCTCCCCCAAATAGTTAAGGCAAAATCATTGAGACAAAAATGCCACTTACAACTCTGGGCCAGCCAACAAAAACAACCGGAACCATCAGTGCAAGGCAACAGAATGTCACCCAGAACACAGCATCATCCTGGAAAACCTTGTAGTCACCTGGGGAAGGATTCATAACATGAACCAAAGGCAATATGTCTATGCAAAGCCAAAATTAAAAAGCATGCTTGGAAAGAGAAATTTCTTACAAGAGATTCCTCTAGACCACATTCACAGCCCAGTTATTTTACAGAAGTTCAGCTGCACTTAAAGGACAGTTTAGTTTTACAGAACGTTCTGCTTAAATGCTAACTTTATACATGGGGTTATTTGCAAACCTCTGTTTTACTCATGGGAAACTGGCAGCATCTTTCAAGTCTGAAGTGTAGTTTGTATTCCAACGTCACAACAAATTAAAACAGGTATGGGGACATTGCATCCCCCTTGTTCCTCTAGTTTGCAAAATTTATCTGAAGTTTCACCAAACCTGGAAGGGTTCTATTCAACACCACATGCTAGAGGACAAGGGGAGCCCATGAGCACAGCAAAGAACCCATGTGTGCCCACTTGTCAAGTCCGTGTTTCATTACTGTCTGTCATGCATTCCAAAGGCAGCCTTAGGAGTGGAAGTCAGAAACTGGGAAAGGAGTTATCTAAATACTAAGCTTCATGAAATATTCAATGTTTTCCGGGGGATGAAAGCAAGGTCACAGGAAGCAATACTGTGTGGCTTACCCAAGGGAGTGAAGAACACGGTTGCTGCAACAAGGAAGCCCAGCACTAGTCCTATAACCAACATACAGAGGTACACAATGCCAAATCGCCACCAGTACAATACCAAGAGAAGACCACCAACAACTCCGGCGAGTGCTGTAAGCCCAAGATCCACTGGCGGGGGTGGGGGAGGGAGCAAGAGGAAGATAGCCAGTTTACAAACAGCAGCAACAACAAATATCAGCAGCATTTTGCCCTCTTTTAAGAATACAGTATAGTAGTTCACATTACATTGCATAACAAATATAACTGTTAGGAGTTGAACAGAGAAATCACAATTCTCTGAAAACAAACACAGCTCTACATGTGCTTGGGGAAACACATTGAATAAAGGATCCAACCACAAAGAGTCACACTGAACTGGCACAGTAGAAAGGCCATTAACGTGTAGCTGGAGCCAGATATTTCAGAACTACCTGAAGCTCAATGGAAAGGTGATGGGAGTCACATGTGCTGGAACTTATCCCTTTAAGAAATTATTTTAAAATCATCTGTATTCCAAAACAGAGTCCACAAGTGGATGCAGAGAGTCATGTGGCTCTCTGGTTTGAGGCCTGAGGGTTTAAAACTTTAAACTGAGGGTTTAAAGGGAGGAAAAAACTGTTAGAAGTTAAGAAATTCAAGAATTCGTTCTGCTCTATTTACTTAGAACTGGCCTTCTTAACTAGTCAAGCAGGATCCTAACACTGGAAACTTCGGTGTAGAATCATATACCTCTGTGAGTGTTACTTTCTTGCACAATTTATTCCAGTTTTTGCTACTCACAGTTCAGGGCCGTGAAGTTGTTCCCAGCCCCTGGAAATCTTACTCGACCACCAGCGTGGCTAATGGGATTCCAGCAGGCCTTGTCCACACAATGAAAGCAAACCTCTGCAGGCATTTGGGCTAGAAACTTGCTCTTTTAAGGGGATTCTGCACAGCTTCAGCACTGCAGCACGATTCTAACTGCACTTTCACAAAGACCTGGTGGTGGTAGAAAGTGCTGTCAAGTTGCAGCCAGCTTATGGTGACCCTGGAGGGTTCTCAAGGCAAGAGATGTTCAGGGGGTGGTTTGCCATTGCCTGCCTCTGCATAGCCATCCTGGACTACCTTGGTGGTCTCCCACCCAAGTACTAATCAGGGCCAACCCTGCTTAGCTTCTGAGATCTGATGAGATTGGTCTAGCCTGGGCCATCAAGGGCAAGGCATAAAGAGCTAGAATTTCCAATTCTATAATTTAAAAGCAGTCATCAGCTCTCAGGGCACAGGGTTTGTTTCATTTTCTCCTGGTGAAAACACCAACAGCATCTTGTGTTGACGGAGGAGACTCAGTGATGACCTTAATGAACCAATAATCTTGGCCTGATCTGACTGGCCTAGGCAGTCTTGTCAAATCTCAGAAGCTAAGCAGGGTTGGCCCTAGTTAGTACTTGAATGGGAGACCACCAAGGAAATCAAGTGTTGCTACACAAAGGCAGGCAATGGCAAACCACCTCTGAACATCTCTTGCCTTGAAAACTGTATGGCGTGACCATAGGTCAGCTGCAACTTGATGGCACTTTCCACCAGCCATCTTGGCCACTTTGTACACCTGATATACTCCCAGACCTTGTGTAATGCTACCCAGGAAGATCGCCTTAATTGCTGTTGCTCAGTAAGCCAAGATGGAGATGCAACAGCACAGGAGACAGGCTTAAGCTGGCCAGGTCTTTTTACCAAAGAGACACATTTTCAAATTGGAGACATGAAACTAGTATTTTCAGACAGAACCATCTATGCATCTTCTCTTACCGTCATAAGGGAGATCAGCTGTTCTGGTAATCGTGATAAAGAAAAAGAAGGCCATGAAAATGAAGCCCATGAAGAACAGATCTAAGGGGAAAAATAGAAGCCTTTATTAAAACAGTGCATCAGGAAGAGAGCCAGTGAGACTAGTACTTAAGAGGAGGGAAGGCCTCGGTTCAAATCCCTGCTTGGCCATGAAGCTCAGGGTATGACTGTGGATCCTCACAATTCCCCAGCCTAACTACTTCAAAGGATGAAAGGATACGGATAAAATGGAAGAGGAGAGAACCAAGAAACTGAACTGAAGAAAAGGAGGGGAAAAGGCACAAACTGGACAAAGCCCCACTTCTTTGGAGCCCTAAGAGTATCATCATGTCCTTCAGACAGACATGGGGGCAGAGCATAGGATCTAAGTAGTTACAGGGCTAAGCCTGTGAATTCATTCCACTAACAGACGCACCCCCTCTCTGATTTGCTACTTTCACTATACTTCCTTACAGTCAACCACTATTGTTGCAGAAGCTAATTCTGGTCCAATTCTGGGTTGGTGAAATTGATCGTTCAACCCTTCTAGGGTTGCCAGGTTTCCTCGTCTCTCTGGCAGGGGGATCTGGGGTGGGTGGGTTCTGGGAGTGGGCGGGGATGCCCCCGAGCCCCGCCCCAAGAGCATCCACCCACCTGGCCACCCCTCTCCCTCCCCTCCTGCCCAATTTAAAGGGGCTTCAGCTGATCGGTGGGGACCATGTGGCCCACTGGAGGGAGAGGGGCAGGAGGGAGGGAGAGGGGCAGTCTTAAGCTGCACAGTCAGCTTGCAAAAAGACCCTTTAAAGTGTTTTTTTGAAAGCCGCATGTGCAGCCCGTGATGGCCCCTCTCCCTCCAGCTAAATTTAAAGGGCCCTCCAGCTGGTCAGCGGGCCATGTGGTCCCCGTCAATCAGCTGAAGCCCTTTAAATCAGGCAGGAGGAGAAGGAGAGGGGTTGGCGGGGGGGATTGCTCTTGGGGTGGGGCTTCCCTCACTGGCCAGGAGCAGACTGGAGCTCCCAAATCATGGAATTTGGGGCAGACTCCAGGGGTGGACTGGAGCCCCCAAACCTGGGGGCTGGCAACCCTGAACCCTTCCCAGTGTAGGGCCACACCAGTATTACCCACCATGAGAAGTTACTGTCCGTCTCTATACAAGTCGTTGCTCTGAGTTTTCTTCCTGCCCTTCATAGGCATGCCCAAGTCAGTAAGCTTACAGAAGCTTCGCCCCACACTCACTGAAAACAGGCCCTTCCTATTGCAAGAATGAAGCATGTGTAATTGGGGTTGCCAGTGGGGAGTCAGAGGTGGAAGGGAGCTCTCCAGGTGGGGCGATACTGCCACGCACAATGTCCTGGACGTGACTTCACTTCCGCGTGATGTCATCATGTTTGGGATGTTACGCCAGGTCATGGCTGTTGGGCGGTGCGGCTTCCCCCTGCTGGCTACCTGGCCAGAGGCGGGCAGGAGCCCAAGAAAACGGAGGATCCTCCACTCCCACCTTGGGGCTGGCAACCCTATGTGTAATATTTGATTTTAGGGACAAAAAGTGTCTCTGTCAGAATGCTGTCAGGTTTTACAATAGAGGACACAAGCTAAGTTACCCTAAAGGATTCCAATTGAAGTGTTGCCTCGCTCTTGTAAATACCTGTTTTCCAGAAACGGTGTCCAAAGAAACAGACAAAGAGGCTAAGGATGGCAAACGTGGTAAAGAAGACTTTGGTGGAGAGTCTTCCTGCAGAAGGAAAGAAAGGTAGGCTGAGTCCAGGCTCTTCACAGTGAGGCACTAAGCAATTATCAGAGACAGTTTTCCTCCAAGGAATGATTGAGCGCCAACTTCAGCCAGCCAGCCACCACTTCAATCCAGACACAATTATACAACTGGAGAACTCCGTGACCAAAGGGCATTGTTTGTACATAATGGGGAACGATGATCTGCCACTCAGTGAGCAAGTCTGTGGATCCCCTGGCCCACACACACTCCCTCCTCCTCAATGTCCACAGTATCAGTCATTATGTCTGAACAACAAACTGGGCGAGGTGTTGGGGAGAGACAGGGGTGGGGTGTTGGGGAGAGATCCCATCGACAGCTGGCCAGTGGATTCCTCTCCCCCCTTTCCATGCTAGGCAACTCCACCTCTTGCTGGCTCGCCACCCCTGCCTGCACCCTTGCCATGGAGGAAGGATCCCCCCCCACCCCGAAGCCAAGTCATGCAGCAGAGACTGCCTTTGCAGCATTGCTGGAGCTGTATGAGGAGAAAGGCTGTCTGTGTGGGCAGGGAGAGCCTGCTGCTAGCCCTGACCTTGACTTCAGTGTGCCTGAACCAGGGGAGGAGCCATGTGACCCAGCCACCATGACTCCTCACTGGTGCAGGCACACTACAGCCTGATCCTTCTACTCGCTGCCCTGCCTGGCGGCAGGCCTGGGAGAAGAAAAGCTGGCCAGAATGTGCTCTCTGCTGCAGAGTGGAGAGCGCATCCGGCCAGCTCTCCTTCTCCTGTAACAAGCACAGCCAGCATTCCCACCATTTGGGGCGGGTGGTGGGGCATGGCTCACAACTGAGGGGGCATGCCCCCAAAATATCCCCTGAACACGGTTCTCTTTCTGTTAACTTAATAAACTTATTTTCTTATTTAAAATGCTTACTCCCCTTCATTTGTTTTGAGTGTTGGTCTGTATCTCAATCCCCACATATACCGGTTATAATCTCAGCAATTAATACCCCACAATACACATTTCCTCTTTGCTAACAGAAGGATACTTTTGCTAGCTACGGGGACTGCACGTGTATTGGTGATCTGGGTAACATACTGGTCTGGCAATGGGGAGTGGGAGGACCGCACAACCATGCCAGTTTCTGTACTCCCAGAGCTAGCTTTGACTCCCAACCTATTAAGTCAGAATCTCATTTATAAAGAACAGGTGCAAGGAGGGAACCAGGTAAGACATCCATCTTCCCACAGGATTTGGCAAAAACTCTATCACCTTGAAAGCTGTGTTCTCTTATATCCATTATGTTGACTTACTAAGAGAGGAGCAGTTATCAACTACAGCATTCAGGTTACAGGCATATGTGTGAATAGGTACATATGCTGCAGATGTGTTCCACAGTGGATCCCTCACTATGACATTGTAAATCACTCCTTGTCCAGGGAGTGATGAGAAGTACAGGTCCGTTTTGTCTTCACTACTTAAGGTCATCATCTGGAGAGGAAAACAAAAAAGCAATGGGTCCATCAGTTGTTAGCAACCATGTCTAGTCCCCTCCATCTTTCCCCACATTCCAGTTGGAAAACAAGCATCTGGGTTTTTTTAGTTTCACCTGAACACAAGAAAGGGAATCGAGGAAAAGTCAGCCATTTCAAAACTGATATAGTTCTGCTGTGTACCATCATATTTGAATCCTGTCCTTCAAGGAACAAGAGCAGCATACATGGGACAATCGACATCTGCTTGGAAGTGCTTCTGCAGTCACTCAGAGCTGTCATCAGCAAACAGCTGACGCCGAGCCAAGAGCCGAGCACTCTGTCTACGTGCCTTTAGTTCTTGCCGGAGCCTCTGCCTATACCGTTCAACAGAGTCCGATGAGCTGCTTACAGGCAGCTGTGGTTCCTCGGCTGCTTCAGAGCTGAGTGTGGTAGCACAGGGTCAGCTACTGGAGATTCCTGCACTTCTGGCTCATTAACCTCCCTGGTCCTGGGCTGGCTGCATGCAGTACCCCAATCCTGAGAAGTCTTCAGCCATGCTAGGCTCAGGCTGACCCATGACAGTGAGTTGCTGCTCACTTCTTCAGATACAGCTAGAATCTGGGTCCATCTGTCCTTATGTCTTGAAGAGTAGAGTGATTTCAGATGCCAAATGACAATAGCAGGCATGATTGGATTAGATGTGATACGCAGAGGGGTAGCAGGCATGGCTCCCTCATGGATCACTGCCTTGACGTGGCGAGCAGGCTTGCGTGGTTCGATGAGGCTGTGGGCTATGCCGTGGAGGGCCACCCAGGACACATAGGCCACAGCAGAGAACTCAGACAAAATGTGATCCCCTGGAGAAGGAAATGGCAACCCATTCCAGTATCTTTGCCAAGAAAACCCCGTGGATTGTAACAAAAGGCTACAAGATATGACGCCGGAAGATGAGCCCCTCAGGTCGGAAGGTGTCCAATATGCTACTGGGGAAGAGCAGAGGTAAAGTACAAGTAACCCCAGAAAGAGTGAAGCGGCTGGGCAAAAGGCAAAAGGACGCTCAGCTGTGGATGTGTCTGATGGTGAAAGGAAAGTCCGATGCTGCAAAGAACAATACTGCATAGGAACCTGGAATGTAAGAGCTATGAATGTTGATTTTGACATTCCCCACCATCTTCAGTTAAAGGGATTTTAGATAGCAGATACTGTATTCCCCTCTATACAAGGCAAAACCACACTACTTACTCTGATGCCATTTGCTACAACGTCTTGTACCTCAGACATCTTCCTCATATGGCTCACAAAAGCAGCTTCGGACAGATCGTTCTCTGGTAGGAAATACTGATAGATGTCATAGTGCAGTCTCCACCTTGTGTCTTGGCCAGTCCCAGAATCACAAGAGGGTGGGTTTGCTCCTCTGGAAGATTGCAGAATATTTACTTAAACAGCAGTAACCTGATATTTAAACATTGATTCAATGTTCTGAAGCTGCTTAGCATTAGTTACTGTTGTTCCCTCTAGCCCCCCCCCCCAATACAACACTGGAAAACCACCCAAATGAATCACATGAAATACATCTTGAAAGTCATGACATAACATTAAAGAAGCTGGATGTCTTAGCTGCTGCAGATATTTTAATACCTCATCAGCAAGTAATTCTGTCAAAGTTCTGCTTGCAATAAGTGGAAAGTAGAGGCCCAAAAGCCTTGAAAAATTTAGAAAAAAACATTGTCCCTACCCCCAAAAGAAAAGTTTCTTTGTTACGACAAAACATTTTCTATTGGAATGAGAAAATGCTTTAGATTTTAATCCCAACGTGCGTAGTACAAAGACTTGTATAAAACAATCTAAAGCATTACATATCCATTCCTGTATATGCTGTAGACAACATAGCATTTCCATATTCTTTAAATGTGGCTAATTCTGTCCATAGTTAATTTGTCACATTTTGCATGATAATATACCATTGGAAAATTTAATTATTAAAGTTTATTTTATTTATTTTTTTAATTTTATTTCAATTTCTATCCCGCCCTGCCAGACGAACTGGCTCAAGGCGGGTAAAGTTAAATTAGATACCTAAATATGCTTAGTCTGTATGAGACTGGTTTGGTCCAAATTATACATTCCTATTTACTACAAAATTTAAGATTTCCAAGAATTATTTTTCTTACTCCTGATATGTATGCCAAGGCAGCACAAAAGTACAGTGGTTTGCTGCTCTCCCTAGTAAGGGAACATTCACTATTTTTCTTATAAAAACAAATTTTCATAATATCATTGAAAAAATAGGAAAATGTTATACATCCAATGTTTTTAACGCAGATAAAATAAGCTTAGATCTGATAAGCAAGTTTTCATATGCTTTAGTTTTTCCCAAAATTTCAACATCCTCCCCATAACTTCAGAAATCCTGCAGAAGTCCAGCGGGTTTTTAAAGACTAACAGAAATCCTGGAAATCTAAATATCTAGTCTCCACATCTTTGTTTTGTCCCTTACTTGGCTATGTGGGAAAGGGATACATAATAGCCTTTATTTTTATTTATTTACTTATCTGTGGTTTGTATCCTGCAAGTGAACTCAGGGCAGCTCACATCATACCATAAAACAACAGACAATTCTAAAAACATCAAGTAATCAACATCATACAAATAACAGTTGAGGACAGAGGGTGGTGCTAGGAGAGAGAGTGTCTATCTAACCCCCGGGAATGTGGGGTCCCTCAGGGGGCACTTCTCTCCCCAATGTTATTTAACATCTATACAAGCCCCCTCACCCAGCTGGCACAGAGTTTCAGGCCTGGGTGTCACCAATATGCTGTTGACACCCAGCTGTATCTGCTTTTAGATGGCCACCTGGATGCCGTCCCACAAAATTTGGCCATAGGTTTGGATGGTTAAAATCTGGCCATAGGTGGGATGGTTAAAAAAAGAGCAGGTTGAAACTGAATCCAACTAAGATGGAGGTTCTGAGGCTAGGGGGAGGAGCATCGGGGTTCAGGCTCAGCTTACCTGCTCTTGACAGAGCGCCACTGACACTGTCCGTCAAGAGCTTAGGTGTGATCCTGGATGCCTCTCTTAACATGGAGGCCCAGGTCACACATACAGCCAGGGTGGCATTTTTCCATCTACACCAAGCCCAGCAGCTGGCCCTTTTCCTATCACACACCAACTTTGCCACAATAATCCACGCGATGGTCACCTCCAGGCTAGACTAATGTAACTCGCTTTATGCTGGCATATCTTTGAGACTGACCCAGAACACAGCAGCATGAGTCCTGACAGGAACACCATGGACTGCACTTATTCAATCTGTCTTGCACCAGCGGCACTGGCTTCCAGTGGAGCACTGGGTCAAGTTCAAGGTCTTGGTTTTGACCTTTAAGGCTTTGAGTGGTCAGGGACTAAGGTATCTGTGGAACCACCTCCTCCAGTACACCGCCAGGAGAGCGCTCCGCTCTTCAAAGAACAACTTGCTGATGGTCCCTGGTCCTAGAGACATCTTTGCCAAACAACATCCAGGGCCCTGCGGGATCTTATGCAATTCCGCAGGGGCTGTAAGGCAGAGATGTTCCGGCATTTGGTTGAGGACAGCAACAGCTTACATCATGGCTGGCACCCTTCCTGAACCCCTATCCCCTGAAAGTTCTACTCCTCCCCCCATGCCCATGAAGCCCCCACAGGCCAGAAATGGAAGGGAACCACAAAATTTCACCATTTGTTTTTAATTAATGAATTATATGTTCTTATGATGGTTCTATTGTTTTTAAATTTGTACATCACCTAGAGCCCCACGGTTGTGGGGATTAGGCCATTCAAAATACAAATAAATAAATTTTAAAGAGATAATCTATTTAACCTAAAGTCACAGTTTCCCAGCCAACAATTCGGCGGTTGGTGTCTTTCAATGCACACTAGCCCCATGCTAGAAGGGCAATGGATCAGGATAGATTGTGTCAATCATTCTTTGCACCAATAATATGAAAATGCCATGGGCAGCCAGAGCAGGGGAGGCTGATGTTATTTGACATCCGCTGCCTCAACCAAAGGCCTGAAGGGACAGCTCCGTTTTACAGGCCCTGTGGAATTCCAACAAATCCCACAGAGCCCTGACCTCAGTTGGGAGCATGTTCCACCAGCCTGGGGCCAGGGTCAAAAAAAGCCCTGGCCCTGGTTGAGGCAAGACGGATGTCTTTTGGGCCAGGAACTACAATGCAGAGCTGGTCAGTGGAGCGCAAGGCTCTGTGGGGCATATATGGGGAGAGATGGTCCCATAGGTATGTTGGTCCCTGGCTGTAAAGAATCTTAATGGTTAACACCATAACCTTGAACCTGACCCGGTATTCAACCGGCAGCCAATGCAGTTGGCACATCATTGGCTGGATATGCGCCCACACAGGCATCCCAATCAGTAGGCACACCACTGCATTTTGTACTAGCTGAAGTTTCTGGATCAGGTTCAAGGGTAGGCCCATATAGAGTGAGTTACATTCATCAATTCTGGAAGTGACCATTGCATGGATCACTGTCGCCAATTCACATGAGGAGAGGTAGGGAACTAGTTGCCTGACCAGTCTAAGATGATAAAAGGCTGACCTGGCAACATCGGTGACCTGGGCCTCCATGGAAAGTGAGGTATCCAGAGCCACTCCCAGACTCCTCACCGATGGAGAAGGCATCAATGATGCCCCACCAAGGGTTGGGAGTCAGATTCCTGACCCTATTCCTCCACAGCTCAGGAACAGGACCACCATCTTAGCTGGATTTAGTTTCAGACCGCTCAATTTTAACCACTCAGCCACAGCCTTCAAAGCCCTGGCCAGATTATCTGGAGCAGATTCTGGCTGACCGTCCATTAACAGATGCAGCTAGGTGTCATCAGCATACTGATGACAGCCCAGTCCAACTCCCCAGATTAACCAGGCGAGGGGGCACATATCAGTAACATCGGGGAGAGGATCACCCCTTGCGGGATGCTGCATACCACAGGGTAACATGGTGAAACCCTCTCCCCAAGTGCCACCCTTTGTCCCTGTCCATGGAGGAATGAGGACAGCCACAATAAATCCTTCCCCCAAATCCCCATATTGGTGAGGTGGTGGGTCAAAAGGTAGTGATCAACTGTGTTGAACGCTGCTGTCAGATCCATTAGCAATAGCAGCACTGACCCGCCTCAATCCAGATGTCTCGAGAGATCATCCGTAAGGGCTACCAGCACAATCTCCATCCCGGAAGCCATACTGAAATGGATCTGAGATAGAGGAGTCATCCAAGAACACCTGGATCTGCTCAGCCACTGCTTTCTCAACCTCCTTACCCAGGAACGGAAGGTTTGATACTAGGTGGTAATTGGCTAGGACCGTAGGGTCCAAAGGCTTTTTCAAGAGCGGTCGCACCAATACCTCCTTCAGGCAATCTGGGAACGTCCCTGAAGACAGGGACAGGTTGATGATCTCTCCCAGAGGAGCCCGAATTCTGTCTTCACAGGCTTTAATAAGCCATGATGGACACAGATCCAGGAGGCAAGTGGTGGGCTTCACAGCTGCCAGGGTCTTGTCAACTTCCTGGGAGAGTCAGTTGAATCGATCCAAGACTGGACCGGAAGATGGTCAAGGGGCTTTCAGTTCACTTGCTTTACAGATGTTGGATTTCACTGAGGGGCCTCCACAGTTCTTGACCCTCCACTTTTATTATGTCCCCCAAGACAAAGCTTCTTTGCAAATGAGAGCTAGCTGCAAGTACCTGGGGTATCCAAGATTTGCTGGGGCAAATTTAATGTGCGTCTCAGCTAAGTTATACTCTAAATAAATATTGGGATCAATTTCCAAGGCAAACTCCAGATTACAGCCACCAGGGATTGGATCTAGGCAGAAACAAAAACAACAGTTAATGCCAGGAAGGGAAAAAGAAGTCACTTCAGAGGGGAAAAAGAAAGGTGAATTCATGATACTGGCTCTCAATTTGTAAACCATCACCTACTGGAACATAAACCTGGAGATGGTGGAACACAGGTGACAGAGCTTGCTCCCAGAGACTATCAATAAGAAGAAACACAAATAGCTCTGACATGGAATTTCAGGCACGGATGGCCAGCAGTGCAAAAAGTACAGAGCCCTTTAAACCCACAGGTGATTTTTGGCCAATGCACGGTGGTAGAGTTGAAGGACATAAGAGCCATCAGCAAGGAAATAATAGGAAATATAGACAGAAAAGCAAGGTGGAGGGCCACGGCCATAGAGACCTTTAAATATAAGGATAAATAAGACCAAATGGAACATGGTGGAGTGATTCACATGCCATGAGACAAGCCATTCTTTACTGATGCATCAACAAGCTTAACAAATCCATGTGGTGAGAAACCCCTCCCGCCTTGCGTGCAGCTCAAACACTAAAGAGATCTTCTTCTGTGGCAAACCAGTTTGCCATTAGACCCACACCACAAGCTATGGTAATTCAGAATACAAAACTATGTGTCAAAAAAATCCAGAAGCCTTTGAACTGCACATGATGGAAGGGGAGGAGGAAGAGAGCATGCATATCTTCCAGTCTGACTCCAAGTATGAAACATATCCATATCTCAATTTGACTTCCCTGTAAAGCCTAGACACTAGTGGAACTAAGAACAGAGCAGAACAGGAGAATTGAAATTTTTATTCTACACCAAAGTGATAGGACAGCATTACAGAACATCGCAATATAAGTGTAAGAGAATGAGGGAGATGTACCTTTTTCAGTATAGGAGAGAGACACAGCCGTGCTTGGCACCTGATCAGCATCCACAGCTCGCAAATACCAGGTACACACATTCTGCTGAGGCCGAAGGAGAGAAACCAACCCTCGGTCTACACCAGTTCCTGAGTTGTTTGCAGAAGGTTTCTGAGAAGCAGAAGAAATAAATGTCTATAGAGGGACACGTCAACCTTTTCCATATATTCGTGTGCGTGCCTATTGCAACTGAAACATTGGAGGCTGTGGATGCAAGAGTCTGTGTGGCCACTTTGAGGGCCCAGCAAACAGAACTGCAAGAGCCATGCCCCACCACCAGCTTTTTCCTTTTTTTAAACCAGGAACTTGGCCTCCTTGTCAGAGAAAACTTGGGATGGGGAGCCTGAAATGAACCTTGTAAATATGCATACGCCTGCATTGTGCCTGTTCCCAAGAATAATTCAAGGTTTTGCATCTAGTGATTCCGCCCCAAAGGGCAACCTTATGGTACTGTGTGTGAATGTTGTTGTAATAACAAGGAAAATGAAATCTATTTTTACTTTCAAACTTCACCTTTGAGAAATAAGATCACGTTGTTTCGTGATAAAAAATGAAAGCCAAGACACAAACAGTAAAACAGTAAAAGCAAAACATAATAAACAACAACAAGCTTAACAGCAATTGGAACAGTTTTTAATCCTCCTGGATGCAGCCAATATTTAACACTGCTGGCAGCTTCTATTACATTTTCAGGAAGGGTGTCCAAGAAAATTCTAGAGCTAGCCTCCTGTGCTCTAGGGAGCAGGCTGCAACTGCACATGCCTGAAGCTGGACCCTCCTGCTCAGTTCCTTTGGACCTCCACTGGTAAGGACAGAAGCGTCATCCAGAAAGCTCTGTAGCTGAGTCGCCACTGCCCTCTCTATCAGTTTGCCCAAATAGGGCGAGTTGGACACCGGCCGATAGTTGGCCAATTCAGCCGGGTCCAAAGTTGTTTTTTTCAGGAGAGGGCGGACCATTGCTTCCGTGAGTGCCTCGGGGAACCACCCCTCCACGAGGGACTTGTTAATAATCTCCCTCAAGGCACCTCAAAACCCCTCGTGGCCCGCTTTAATGAGCCAGGAGGGGCATGGATCAAGGCCACACGTGGTTGGGTGCACAGATGCAAGCGATCTGTTGACTTCCTCCAGGCTGAGCTGGTCAAAACACTCTAAACCCGGAATCGAAGACGCGCAAGGGGCCTCGAGTTTGCTAACTGTTTCAACTGTGGCGGGGAGGTTGCGGCGGAGCGTCAAGATAAATAAATCTTCTTAACATACTTTATGGCAGCAAACCCAAAGCCTTTAAACTTGCTACCCTAATGGGGTTGCCAGGTCCCTTTTGGTAGCTGGCAGTGGCAGGAGGCCTAGGTGCGCTGGAAGGGACATCAGCATGCCACTGGATGCTCTGGTATTTGGGCAAAAAAACACCAGAGCCTCCGGCAATGTGCTGATGTCACTTCAGTGCGTGCCAGAAGGGATACTGCCAGCCTAGGCCTCTCCCCGCTGCTGTAAGTCCTCCTGCCAGCCAGCTCATCAGCAGTGGGTGTCCAGAAGCCCTATACCCTAATAGCACCTTGTAATTGAGGGGAAGGTTTACAGTTTTAAACAAAACAGTTCTCCAGAATCATAAGTGGTTCTATAGTTCCCCTTGGTTATAAGAAAAGGCCTGTCACACCTGCACAGAGAAGGAGGGGGTTCACTCCCTGAAGCCGAGCAGCAGTGAGGAGGCTTTTGGGGGGAGTCAGTCCTTCATCCCACGGTGGGATGAGTTTGGCCTAACTGGATCTGGTACTGAGATAGGAATAGAAGCCAAGAAAGGCAGTTCCATTTGGGTGCTTTGCTGATTTCTGGCCAGTGTCTTCCTTGGTGGTAATTCTAACGCATTTTAAAAACTTGTTTCCTATTTACTAATTGGCTACAATATTTGTTTAATAAACCGTTTCTCCTTCACTTTGCCTGGGTTCTTCATGCTTGCAATTTGGCCATGTATCAGGTCACGCCACAACTAAAGAGGCAGTTGCCTAGAAGCAGAGAGGGTGCTCTGGGCCCTCTTTAGTAAAGTCCTAAATCTAGAGTGGAAACAGTTAACAGTCATAGCAAGGAGACAGTAGCTGTGGAAGCAGAGCCTGCATTACAAGAAATCAGCTACAAAGCCAGTCAACAGGGTCTGACGCAGTGACACAGACATTGCAGGTACTAAGTTCATGTCAAATAACAGTATTGGAAATACCTTATCAAAGGAAATGGTTACATTCTTCTGATGGGTGTGGATCTGAAAGATAACGACTGTCACATTGCTGGCAATATTTCTCAACACTGTTTCTGTTGGAATGGTTCTGTTCAGCAAGATCGTCTTAAATTTTCCCAAAGAAAGCTCAAGGGGGAGAAAATCTGTTTAAAAGGGAGAGAGAAAATTACATACACACTGTGTTTAGTGGGTGCAAAAACAAACGAGACTAGTTACCTGCGGCAGGTAGGTTGGTTGCTTCAACCCTGAGTTTTTGACAGATCTGGCGCTATTTCCCCATCTCCCAACCCCCTCATACTCACCATTCCCCAGGAGGTTTGGTAGCTTTAAAAAAAATCATCAGTGACAAACACTACAGAGATAAACCTTCTATTGATTCAAGAAACAGCTGGTTAAAAAGCCTGCTCGTGGCAGAAGGGAATGGTAGGTGTGAGGAGATACCCCACATGGACACTCCATTGCAATGAGAACACAGCAGGGACTGCTTTCATGTGGAGGTCACTTTTGTTACAACTGACATAGTGTTGGGATGCCACGGGCTTACCTTTCTTAATAATGACTCATTCATTTGCCTGGTTGCAAGTTTGTTTGGAATAGAGACCGCTTTGCTCTTCAGCCTTGCTAAAGTCAGGATCACAAGATGCCATCATCTGTCCTGAAACTCTAATTGGGATCAATGATGAACTGGTGAACCTTTCCCCTCTTAAGATCCTAATCTCAAGACTGACTTCGTGCCCTGCCTGCCTAAAGAGATGAAGCAAATAGCAACTAGAGACAAGGCTTTCTCAATGGTGTCCCCCATCTCTGAAATGTCCTTCCACTGGAGACACAGCCGGTGCCTATCCTCTCATTTCTTACACATCAGGGCACGGGCATAACTATAAAATTTTGATTGGTTGATAAATTTGGGGGAGTGGGGGAAAGACGGGGACATCCCATTGGCAGATGGCCGGTGGATTCCTCTCCCCTTTTCATGCTAGGCAACACCCCCTCTTGTTGGCTTGCCGTATCCTGCCTGTGCCCTTGCTGCAGACGAACACACACACACACCCAAAGCCAAGTCATGCGGCGGAGACTTCCTCTCCCTGATGTTGTTTAACATCTACATGCACCCCCTTGACCAACTGGTGCAGTGCTTTGGGCTGGGGTGTCATCAGTATGCTGATGACACCCAACTATATCTGTTGATAGGTGGCCAACCGGACACTACCTCAGCTGTCTTGGCTGAGAGACTGGAGGCCGTGATGGGATGGTTAAAACAGAGTCGGCTGAGATTGAATCCAGCTAAGATGGAGGTTCTGTGGGTAGGCTTCACGTTTGGGGTGCCAACTCCAAGCTCTTGACGGTGTTCCCTTAACACCAGCACCAACTGTCAAGAGCTTGGGTGTGATTCTGGATGCCTCCATATCAATGGATGCCCAGACCATAAAAGCTGCCAGACTGGCATTCTTTCTGCTATGCCAGGTCAGAGCCCCAGTAATCCAAGCAATGGTCACCTCCAGACTGGACTACTGCAACTCACTCTACGTGGGCCTACCCTTGAGACTGACCCGGAAACTTCAGCTGGTCCAGAATGCAGTGGTGCAGATCCTTACAGGGACCCCACTAAAGGCACAAATTTGACCTGTGCTATGTGAGCTGCACTGGTTACCAGTTGATCACCAGATCAGGTTCAAAGGTTTGGTGCTTATATTTAAGGTCCTTAACAGTCTGGGACCCAATGCCTCTCCTGATACACCCCTCAGAGAGTATTACACTCAAGATGTAAAATTTCCAGAAATGTTGAAGCTTGGGGAAAAAACTCGTGGTTTTTTTTTGTTTTGAAAAAACAGAAATTTTCGGGAAAACTGAAAACAATGCTACATCAGCACTTCTTTTTTCTTTTCCAGACTTAAAGTCATTCTGTTACTTTAGGAACATAAAATATTACTATGGACATTTTTACTTGGCATGAAATTATCACAACTAGCATATTAAAAATATAGTGTATCCAAACAATTATTACAAACAGAATACCCACCCACATGCAAAAACAAAACTGAAACCTTTTTCTTTTCTTGTGACAATAGCACCTCCTATGTCACTGCTTGCTATTATCCTTCTGGAATATTCAAGAGGCTTTATTCTTTGTAGTTGTTACTACTTGTGGATTATCCTGTTCCACACCGTGTTTACTCCATAGTCTTCCTTTAGGCCCTCTAACTCTAGGTCTTTGACTTTCTACTTCCCAACATCCTGGGAACTCTTCCCAGTCTTCAGCCTGTGAGAGATATTTTAATCACAGCCAAATGGACCACTTACCCTTTCACCACAAACACTTTAGCTCTCTGAGCAACATTCTGCATCATTGTGGCAGTTCATCCAATCAGCATTCCAAGGTTTCACCACCAGAAATTCAATACAATATAGTTCATTTTAGTGTTTTAGCCTTCAGATCAGTCATTTAGCACAACTAAAAATGTCACCAAGTCAATAAATCCGCCTACAGAGCATAACATAGCACAACTTTGGTTAACTCACCACTAAGTTGTTCTCAGCAGAGCATAAAGCTCTATTGGGAACATACCAGAGGAGACGGTCCCATAGATATGCGAGTCCCAGACCCCTCGTGGCCTTAAATGTCAGTACCAGAACCTTGAACCTAAGCCGGTACTCCACTGGGAGCCAGTGCAGCTGACACAGCACAAGTTGAATGTGGGCGGCCTGTGGTGTTCCCATCAGGACCTGCACTGGACCAGATGGAGTTTTTGGATCAATCTCAACGGCAGGCCAGCATAACATGAGGTGACCCAGTCTGGAGGTGACCATTGCATGGATTACTGTGACTAGGTCAGGGCGAGAAAAGAAAGGGGCCAGTTACCTTGCCTGGCGCAGCGGGTAAAACGCCAGCTTGGCAACATTTGTGATCTGGGCTTCCACAGATAAGGAAGTATCCAAGACCATGCCCAAACTCTTGACGACTTCCCCCCAGTATTAGAGACGTGCCGTCAAGAGTGGGAAGTTGGGACCCCAATCCTGAAGCCCCTCCACCTAGCCACAGAACCTCCGTCTTGGTCGGATTCCGTTTCAGCCTGTTCTTCCACAGCCATTCCACCATGACCTCCAGCCCCTCAGCCAGATTTTGTGGGGCGGTGTTCAAGAGGCCACCCATCAACAGATACAGCTGGGTGTCATCAGCATAGTGGTGACATCCCAGCCCCAAACTCCATGCCAACTGGGCGAGGGGGTGCATGTAGATGTTAAACAACATTGGGGAGAGGACTGCCCCCTGAGGAATCCCACATGTTAAGGGGAACCCAGTTGGCACCCTTCCCCCAGCACTATCCTCTGTCCCTGACCTCGGAGAAATGAGGTGAGCCGCTGTAGGACTACCCCACGAACTCCTATGTCAGTGAGGCGGTGTGTCAACAGGTCATGGTCGACCGTGTCAAACATTGTTGTAAGATCTAACAAAAACAGCAGCACCAACATGCCTTGATCCAGTTTCCTACAGAGATCATCTGTGAAGGTGACCAACACCATCTCTGTCCCATGGCCAGGGCAGAAACTGGACTCGAATGGATCAAGTGCCAGTGTGTCATCCAGGAAAATTGGAGTTGCTTGGTTACCACTCTCTCAATTACCTTGCCCAGAAACAACAGATTTAAAACTGAGCAGTAATTCTGTGGATCCAAAGGATCCAGAGAATTATTTTTTTCAAGAGCAGTATTGCCACAGCCTCTTTCAGACCCTCTGGGTAGAACCCCAAATCCAGGGACAGGTTAATAAGGGCCATCAGAGGGCCCCAGATTCCCTCACAACTGGTTTTCACCAACCATGAGGGACATGGATCTAAGAAGCATGTGGCAGGCCTGACAGCACCCAGGATCCTGTCGACATTGGTCAGAGAGAGCCAGCTGAAGTTGTCAAATACTGAATCCAAAGACAGACAAGGGGCCTCCAGTTCATGTACTGTATCAACATTGGCTGGAAGGTCGTGGAGGAGTGGCAGGATTTTATCCACAAAAAAGCTCGCAAATGTCTCCATTACTAATATTTGGTGCTGTCTCCATAAAGGTGGTAAAGGATCAAATCCCCCTAAACAATTGAGCTGGGTGAGAGCTAGCAGATGCAATGGAGGCTGAGAAGAATTTTCTTTTCGCAGCCTTCACCACCATCTCATAGGATTTCATAAACGTCCTATAAGATGCTCTTGTACCTTCACTGAGAACATGCCACCAAACTCGCTCTTGTCGCCACCTAGACAGATCCCTAGCCCTAAAGACGTCAGCCCTGGCTCCTACCTGGTGGAATTCTCTGCCAAATAACATCCATGCCCTGCGGGACCTTATGCAGTTCCGAAGAGTGTGCAAGGCAGAGATGTTCCGCCAGGCTTTTGGTTGAGGACAGCAACAGGTACGACCTCATCTGGCACTCCCTTCCCCTCCTCCACCCTGCCTTTCTCACTTATTGCAAGACAGTAATGTATATTGTATGATTGCTTTGGCACCATCTGATGTTATTTTTAGCTATTCTTGTTTTCTGGATTTAAAATGTACAGTTTCCTGTTGTTAACCGCCCTGAGCTCTGTGAATTCAGAGAATGGTGGTTTATAAATAATTAAATAAATAAAAACCTAGAGCAAATATTCGGATTGTAACCCACAACATACAAGTAAAAGATATTATAGTATTACTGCAAAGCCAGCAGGCCAAAGTGGACCTAGAATAAGTAATTTTTTACCATCACCGGCTAGCAATTTTCTGTGGATTACATCAAAGTTAAAACTATCACAGAAACTGATTGTGAACACCCTTGAACACCACAGAAGAACGTGCAGCAAGAGTTTTCCACTCTTCCCATCCTTCAATGACAAGTATGTTGACTGAAAAGAACAGAAGTCCAGTAGCACCTTAAAGACTAACAAAATTTGCAGAAGGGTATGAGTTTTCATGAAGCTTTGTGAAATGCAAGTTAGACAAGAGACATCAAACAGAAGAGAATTGGCCAGTGATGAAGTCCTGATCTGCAGGACTTAGCAGAGGAGTGTTTTCTCCTATGTCACATGACTACCCAACCCAAGGGCAATATGTACGAAGTGTGCTTCTGCACATAGGATGACACGAATAAGACTCAGTGGCTGTGTGGGGCGTCACATGTGTAC